CCTGGTCTGCTGTAGGGGGGAAGGGGGAGCATAGCTAGTGCGCCCCCCCCAGCAGACCAGGCTTTTCTCGCCGACGCCTGGGGTAGAGCAGCTGGGGCGCTGCCGGGTTGGTCCCGCAGCGCTGCTCCTTGGCGCTACTGGACCAACCAGGCAGCACTCCCGCTGCTCTGCCCCAGGCGTCCCCAAGTCAGCCGCTGCTGAAACTGACCAGGGAAAGATTGTTTGGTTATTTCATTTGCCAAAGGTAATTGAAGCAGATATTTATGAAGTCATTGGAAGGTAAAAGCTATCTCCAATTCAACAGATTAGTCATTAATATTGGGAGGATTTCCTTGCCATGCTGTATTAGTAGGAGAACATCTCCAGACAGACATTTACATTGTTTTATTTAACTAAAACAACATTCTGTATTCTGGATATTTTTCTTCAACAACAAACATAATATTTTTTTAAAAAAATCTATATGCTTGTTTTGTTAACTAAAACAGAGACTCTGTGTACACAAATTTGCAGAAGAACAATAGGGCTGAGGTCTGTTATTTCTCACCTCTATATATTATTTATTTTAAAACATTTTTGCTGTTAACAAGCATGTTATCTCTGGATATACAAATCCATAGTTTGAGAACTGCAAAACTAAGTATTTCTGATGGTATCTTCTAGACTGAGCACTGACTCCCATTGGGTAGACAGAAAGATTAACCTAAATAATCTATACATAAGCCTCTGGAACCCCATAAAATTGGGTCCCTAATACATGAACTATTGGAAGTAATTTACAAAACTTTTCTTAAACATTACATGAATACATTGTTTCAAATTTATAATCCCTATTCCATGATGAGATATCTTTGAGCTATACCGTATCTGAATCGAAACTATGTTTAGATTGTTTGAGGAAAAAACCTTTTTATCAAAAAATCTGATTTAAATCAAAAATCCAATTTTTTACACAAAATCATTGATTTTTATCCACCCTCCCTACATTCCATATTTTATGGGATAGAGTTATTTTTATTGATTTTGGTTCTCTCAACTCTGTTCCTCCATTCATTCAAAGGACAGATGTTATCAGAATGTCTCCAATCACATTTTCCAACAGTTTCCAATACAACTTTGAGATGCGAGGGCTATAGCTCATAATCAAAGACAATATTTCAACCTCCCTGTGATGGGCCGCCCACGGCCCGCACGCTGGACAGCCAGTACCGCCAGGAGATGAGCGGGGCCACTGGCAGAACACCCCTGCGCCCCGGGGCTGCCGGAGAATGGCGGAATGTCTCCAATCACATTTTCCAACAGTTTCCAATACAACTTTGAGATGCGAGGGCTATAGCTCATAATCAAAGACAATATTTCAACCTCCCTGTGATGGGCCGCCCACGGCCCGCACGCTGGACAGCCAGTACCGCCAGGAGATGAGCGGGGCCACTGGCAGAACACCCCTGCGCCCCGGGGCTGCCGGAGAATGGCGGCGGGGGGGGGGGCGCGCCCA